TTGCCCATGACCCTAGGATCCACCAAACAGGTCCTAAATCGGTCGAAACTAAAAAAAAAACAGATTAAAATTTGCATGATACTAAGTCAAACATATCGAGTATAGGTATTTGCAACATTTACTATTCCAGTCTCTTACACGTCTTTATTGATTAGCTCTCCATTTACTAAACATGTCATGAGTCAAGCAGCAGAAGAAAATCGAACGTTTTCGTCTGATCTTGAAAGGCCGCCACATTATTACTTCCTAATTGTATGGTTTTAATGCATTGGCATATGAATGACATTGTCATGACCTCATACGGCGAAACTGTACACGTTGCAAAACTGAACTCGAATTGTGCTGTGGTATTCATTTTTATCTTTTATCATAAGACAGAACCTTACAAATGCATAAAAATGTGTATCATGCCAGGAAGCCAACCAGATTTTTCTGTGCTTCAAATCAGTTTTTTCCAAAAATGGTAATTCTAAGGTGTTCCCGCTTTGTGCTACGCGTGAGACAGTCAAAGCGTTCCGCGTGCCACGATCTTCTGCGATTGGTTTGATCCTAGATGAAGCAATATTGCTGCAAGACCGAAATCGCTTATTTTTTACATGTAACTTTCAGACCAACATATTAGGGAGAGTTCCTGGTAGTTTGCGTAATGCATATAAAGTAAACTGAAGTTTCCAACATGCTTCTGCGTCTACTGACAAGTTGTACGATCAATATTTGAAATGGCGATATTTCCTCGTAACTCTGCTCTTTTTTTAAATTAAATTTTAACAGAATCGAAATTGAAATTGTATTATGGTTGGTAACTTTAACTAAGGTAATTGAAAATATTGAAAGATTTACAGAATTGGTTGACTGCTGGGAGAAATGGTAATTATAGTGATAATGATGAGGTATAAGTCCATGTACCCAGAAGTATTTCTATGGACTTATGGCTATTAATGTATAATATTGTAAAAGGGGCACGCAACACGGTGATTGTGGTTGTTACGAGCCTTTAGGAATGGTCATAGGGATGAGTCCCGGGGGAAATGGCCCGTGCTACAAGGGTATAATGGGACAATTATATTACTATACTTGTTATAGTGTATCGTCCAGCCGTGTGTGTGTGTGTGTGTGTGTGTGTGTGTGTGTGAGAGAGAGAGAGAGAGAGAGAGAGAGAGAGAGAGAGAGAGAGAGAGTAAGTAAATGTTGTGCAAGTACAGATGGATGGAGGGAGAGAAGGAGAGTGGAGGGAAGAAGAGAGTGCCAATCGAAGATGTTACACAACCCGCTATTATTTGATGATTATATTCTAAAGGCACGTCAATAAAAATCGGATTATTATGACAGGAAAACGTGGTTACGCATTAGAACTACCGAATTATTTTATTTATTAATGATAACACGGTACATAGTCTATCTGCAAGAAAAGGCGCTCCAGCGCTCACTGACGTAACATATGGCAGTGAAACCAATGACTTCTGTGTCTGAAAACTATCTACCAGGCTCGGTTCGTCATGCGTGCATACAGAAACATTCTAAAGGAAGCTGTATATGTGGGGCCATATGGCCATATTCCCCATGCGCCCCACCCATTCTCCAGCTGCCGACTGTCATGTATATCTATATATAAATATATATCCCTTAGTTAACTTGTCCAACCCGCTTTCTACTCTGACATACTGGGTTATTTCCATCAGAGTGACACCAGGAAGTGAGCAAAGAATTACCCTACAGGAAGCATACATCAAAGCTATAAAATATTCAGAGATCAATCAAAGATGGACGATAATAAGGATATACAGTATTTATGACAGTGGTGGGTGTAGGCAGGTTTTACATTACAAAACATGCACATCAAAAGTTATAAAACCAGAGATCAATTAGAGATAAATGATTATAATTTAAATAGTGGTACGTTTATACGGGATATACATTACACAGCATACACATCAAAAGTTATCAAACCAAAGATGAATTAAAGATGAATAGTAATGATAGATTTTCATATTAGTCCCACGTGGGAAAACAATGCAAAAATGAACAGATGACATTTCATTTACAAGCCTGAGATAAAATTGTTTTTTTTATGTTTTTTGCTGGAGGCATTTTCATGGTGTACAGTGTGTGTGAAAATACACGCTTGTGTCGTAGGGACGGTTCAAAATTAGCCATAACGATCTAGCTAATGTGCACTAACTCTACGGGGACTCTCGCTGAATGCAATCAGCCTAACATACCTCCTCCTGGCGTTGAGTCGAATGCAGAGAAGCCGGTGATTATATGGGTCCGTTGGAAACAAAAGGAGACGCGATGGTCTGTTAATTTGATTTCATTCAGTCAGTACCCGCAGAGTTAGTGCACATTAGCTAGGCCGACATATCTCATCCTGAACGGTCCCTTATTTTTTTTTAATAATCACCGGTGGATCAAGGATTTTGCTGCGGTAGGGGGGTACACAGATGAAAAAATAACAATGTAAAATATATATAACTGGGACAATTGTACTTTTATATGTAAGGCACAGGGATGGGATAGATGTTGATTTTTTTTCTTGTTTCGATTGTTATACTGTTTTGAAGGGGGGAAAGGGGTATCTGCCGGTCGTGCTCTCTACCTGAATCCGACGTTAAATGATAAGATACCAGTATATGACGTCTGCGTTGTCATCATCTCCCGTCACAGAGCGTTTTGATTGGAATCTATCATATAAAGTGATTAATTATTTGCATCAAATATTCAACTATTCATTCCTAATCAAAATAATCTTACCACTCTATCCTAAGCACCCTTGTATTCTATAAAGAATGAAATAACTGAATATAATATTATCTACAGTAAAGTCACGTCTGACATCCATCAATTAAATAAAGCCCGCATTCATTTTTGTCGGCAATAATGTAAAGGAAGCCTGCGTGTCATATTTACAGAGTGATATTATCGATAAAGATGACACGTGGAAATATAACGTCTGGAATATATATGTCCTCTGCCTTCACTCATTTTATTCATCTGTGCGTAAATCGACAATACGCTGTTATGTGTTTTAAGGACTTTCAAGTTATATTAAAAGCCATCATCACATTTCCAATATACGGTAAGATGGGTACTGGTCTTAGCAGTGGTGATATAAATGAGTATGCCAATACATGGCTATAGTATAGAACAGTGCTGACAAATAATAATAATAATAATAATAATAATAATAATAATAATAATAATAATAATAATAACAGTAAAAGAAATCGGGGGGTAAACTTTGTCACAGATAGCAGATGTAAGATATATGTACCTTTCATTAGCAGATCTAAGAATTTGCTCAGGATGGAATGGGGGGAGTTACAATGATATTTTAGCTTCGCTTCGCTCTACAAATATAAAACAATAGACGTGGAGAGTTTCACTGTAATATTTAGGGCACAGGAGTGACTCAATTGCTTAGTTTTTTCTTGTTTTGCTAGTTGGAGAAAAAGGTACCTCCGAAACTAGGAGTAGGGATGTAGGGGAAGGTAACCGCTGTGCCTACGTATACCCCTCCCCCCACCCCCACCCCACCCCTCCATAATGTAGCATCAATACCTAAAAAAATGTCCCGTGACATGAAGTCAATATGTCTCCGAAAACAATGGTCCATTGGATCTGACAAGGAACAAGGAATTACTGCTACGTCCTCCTTTGGGCAGAGTTAACAATGCTTCTGTAATTTTTTTTTTCGTGATGTAGCATGCAGTTCGCAAACAACGATTTAGTTAGTCACAGCAATCAACGAACCATAAAATTTCAAACAAAGCTGCATGTACATGATACATTATGTCGCATAGGGCTTCTGTAATACGAAACCGCGACTGAATCAGGGACAGGCGGTTTCACAAGGCGCACAAAGGTAGGGCGTTGAGAGGACACGGGCAGCCCACCCTACATTGGATTCGTACAGGTCAGGGCTAAATGGCGTAAGTGGGTCAAAATCTAGGACTGGGCTAACCTGTACAAGTCTATGGAAACTGGACTGATGTAATTTGGCTGATCCTCAATCACGCCATACCTAACCAGCACCACATAAAGCAAATAAGTTTTGTCTGTCGCGTGGCGAGGCCCCGCTTTGACAGCCTGCTAGCGAGCGTATACATCAAAGCCTCACTGAGCCCGGAACACAATCAGTGAGGTTAGTGGACTGGAAGGTGGCGGGCGTGGATTCAGGTGTGCTGGGTCCCGGGAATTTGTTTAACAAAATCGTGGGTTTTTCTGTTAACACTACACCGAGTACACATAGACTATGTGTCCTGAGTACATCAAGCACTGAACAATACTCAGCCATGCCAGAAGTTCTTACATACTCGGTTATTGTTTGCCAATATAGGATGATATCAAGATCGATGGTATGAACAGTTGGCCTAGGCGTCGGTAAGTGCCATTATAATGCCCTGTCGATAAAATGCTAGCGAGCGGATTTTGACTGATGTACATGTAGCTCACATTTTCTTTACCCTCTACCAGGGCCACAGATTGATTTTTTTCACTAGATATCCGTTGACATTCCTCTAGATAAATGGTGGTACTTTTCTGGACTGCATTTTGTCACGTTAGATAAAAGTGCACATAATTATCTGCGATCCTGATACGGATACGTTTTCTTCCTTGTAATCCACACCCAGCAACAAGTGGGACGGAATTCATTGTGCATATTCTAAAGGTCTAGTCGCTGAACTAAATTACAGGTAAACAACGTTATTATGGGGCCTCTGGCGTTCATAAGCAGGCTCTTAGTACAGGAAACGTTTTTTTATCCAAACTGAATGGCCTTTAAATAATTACAATACAGTTAAGGCTTAAAAACTGCGTCTGATGGCCGAGTTGCACAATACCGTACATGTGTACACTAATCGGTAAGCAAGCAGACAGTAGATTTAATAGGAGAGTAAGTAAGCGTAAATGTCACGAAATGTGCACTGACTTTGATCGACATGGCAGTCCAGCTTCTGGGTTTATAAAGAGAGGAATAAACTCACAGAGGAAACAGAAGTTGTTATGGCATTTGCGGCATTTTACTGGCCCTTGTCCGTGTAATTAAACAATTACAGGTGCGAGTTGACAGCCTGGGCGACCAGTGCCAATATTATTCCCCTTCCCATATTGATTGGTATTCGCCAGGCCCTCAAGCACATACATCAAATATACATTTAGATATATACAATATAACTGGCTGCGCAGTTATTATATAACGTGCTCATATGCGGGTGTATTTTGTTTACCAAATATAATGGTTGGCCAGGTGAAACAAAGCAAGCGGAGGCCTGCTTTGCTTATCGAATCAACCAGTGGATTCGGTGAAGCAAAGTAAACTGCTGTGCGTACGTTTCAGTATTTCAACGGTTTCTCAAGTCAGTGGGGCATGTTTCCAAGAGCCATATACTACCGTGTTATATCAAGAAAAAGGGAATACCTTCAATCTTGTTTAACACTGTGCTAGGTAGGATGCACACTTGTGGACGATGGGGGAGGTCTCCCGTAAGTTGCTGTTGAAATTCTTGAGTGAATCGACCTCAGTTCACCCTTATAGTTTCGGAGGTCACTGGAAACTCATTGCAGAAACAACAAAGGTATGGTGATAATTGAGATGCGAGTTTATTAGTGATCTTTGACATTGAGGGTGTATCTACGAGTCTTTATATAACGCTGTGCATTCCCCTTACATCGTGATGTACTAACTAGTTAAATTTGAGACCAAGATAACTGCGATCGATTGGTATATGTCATCTACCATTAAAGGGCCTCCTCACGGTTCTAGCAGTTACAAAATATATATGTTGCAGAACTTCAACTGATTTTGTAGCAGCTAAAAGGACCTCTGGTATAGAGTAGGATAAATACCGGTAAATATATACAGGGCAGAGCAAGCAACTCTTCACCATTCAATGCTTCACCGTTCATGACGTCGGTGAGTTTTCTTTACTTAACACAAATCTGCCTCTTGATAGCCGGGTAAAGGTTTTCATAATGCCAGACAAGGTGGTTGTCAACAACTGAATGACTACATGACAAACACAGACATGACGCTTTGGGGCTATGTACAGTTGTGAAGGTGTTATTAGAGGCCTAATAATGTTATCAAGCTCGGCGAGTCGATCGAAAAAACCCACCGAGCACTGCAGTGCAAATACTTTGATACTACATGTGCGAATGAGGCGGTGGCCTCACTATAGTGTGCCCTGTCTTTAGAGGACGATTAGTGAAAACTATTTAGCCGATTTGCTTTGTCAAATGCCCTGATGCTGTTTTGTAAAGAGCACAAAACGAGGTCCCTGACAATACATATTGATGTTTTATTGTCACGAGCACATATTTTTTTATAATAATTAATGACCTAATTTAAAACTACACAGGTGTGTTTGCTTACAGCCAGCCGTATAAAAAGGTAACATGTAAAGCTATATACGTATACTAAAACTGATAGCGCACTTAAACACACACACACACACACCCACACACACACACCAAGTTCTATGACATAAGGCCGCTTTCAGGTTTTTGCAAGTCACAAAGGACTGTCGACTATTTATTATGTGACGGATGTGAAGAAGTAGGAGCACTAGGGCAATGATTTCAGCTTAGCCCCATGGGTTTTCCCTTCGTCCACGCGGCCTATTGAGTTCGATTCACCGGATCAAATGCTTATGTTTCTCAAGCGAACAAGTTTTGCCAACATTCGATCGATTATAAATGCTCATTTTGAGACTTGGCTAAACGTAGATAATATTTAGAGGGCAGCTGTACTAATATGATGATATATGCACGGTATGTAGGTGGTGATATTTTTCAAGATAACACCTCTAATGCTAAAGGTAAATGATAGGTTCATGTACACTCGAACAAGGCCTTGATTAGTGACATTTTTCTCTAGCTCACGAATACAGCAGGTCAAGCTTTATGCTCCGAGGGGTTTTATTGTAGACTTCTTAGGGCCGTTCTGCCATTTAAAAAGTATGAAGATGTGAGAGACGGATTGTACGAGAAGGACGGACCCATCTCCATTGTAAACACAACATACTAGTTCATCTAAATAAACAAAAGCATGGGATATCGAGCCGTAAACCAGGTCACAGGGGAAATGAAGGTTATCGCGCGTAAGAGACAGATTAAAACGTGATTTTGCAGGTAGATGAGGCTACCACGCGTTAACTGCGGATGAAAAAACGAGTGACTCGAATTGAATTAGATAGGAAGGGAATCCCACAGGGATATATGCTGCTGGTGGTGATAATATAGTTATAGTCACCTGGCGGTAGTCTGTTGCCAATGTTTTATGATCCACACCTGTAAGTACACCGTAAATATACCAGACGCTAGTGTCTGAGAATAACGTGCATTTGTAAAGACTGTAAAGGCAGGCGGTTCATTAAGATAAACACACGGCAGAGTTACATTGACACCGCCTAACAAGAATGACGTTGAACCAGGTACGTTCGAGGTAGTCTGTCAGCGGAATAAATAAGATACAGAATGTAGGTCATTTTTCAAAGTGAAAATTGTAGTATAACATGACACGGGGAGCGGTGTATCTAGGCCAGGGCTGGAAAGGCACAGTGCCCTGGGAGCCTTGTAAAGGGGGTGCCTCTGAGATTTAACGTCACCGAAAGGCGCTAATGTAATTTTTACCTCCGCCAAGGAGGTTATGTTTTTTGGTTCCGTCATTTTGTCTGTCTGTCTATCTGTCTGTCTGTCTGTTAGCAACATCACAGAAAAAGTTATGGACCAATTTTGATGAAATTTTCTGGAACTGTCAGAAGTGGGCCAAGGAACAGATGAATAGTTTTTGGTGGTGATCCGGATCATTAATCAATCAATAATCAATAATCAAAAATAAAAAAACTAAATCATTATAGAATGAAAATTTAGGGGTGAAACGGCATTGGGTGGAGACTTTGCCGCCTTGGCGGAGGTCTGTGCTCTCGGAGAGCTTTTCTAGTTATGTAGTGCAATGATTTGCTGACAAAAAGTCCAACGGAATAAAATTAACTTTTTGAGATGATTTCTTGCTTAAGGTTTTTTAAATAGGAGTCATGTGTTTAGATGTGCGCAATTTCAGGTCTTTGTTTTCGGCGTTTTTTCCGAAGACAGGCCTACGCTCCTGCATGAAGGCCTCTCGGTGACGTACATGTAACTGAAGGGAAAGCGGTTCTCGTGAACGGTTTTAACACACCACGAAAGGCCTAACGTTTTGTAAAAGAAAAGTTGTGGGTGTTTTTCATTACCAGAATGAATATTTGATATTGTTGGCTGCAGTAAGTCGCTCAATATTTTTGTCGTTAAGGTTATCACGGTCGAAAAATCAGTATTGACATATGTAATAGTGTTTATTTAGAACGAGTCATGTGTAAAAACGACCAAGTCATTATAGTTATTTCATATTTCGAGGTATCTTACAAATTCCACCCTGCGTGTCAGAGGACACTGGGAACTCACCTCTTTATTATCAGTATTCCTCTGATGTTTCCAGCACTCTGAAATTCAGGGTGACAAAATACAAACGTGGCTGGATAAATGACAGCGCTGATCACCCGGAGGCTTGAAAAAACAAACAGCAAATTTTGGTGACATGATATCAGCACGATAGTTTAAACTACACAACGACTGTGTTTGAAATGCCTAAGCCATAGCGTCAGCTGTTCTAACTTTTTTGTCCACGCACCCATATTATTAATAGAGGCTGTCATGTGTTCGTCGGAAAAAACAGAACTCAATGTCGACCTTCTGCTAAAGCTTTTGTCTTATTTTTTCATTTATTTCTATTCTTATTCAGTTAAATTGCATAATCTGAAACTACTATTTCCTTACTTGTTATTTCAGGATTACTCGTCTCAAAGTCAAGTTTTCATCTTTAAAAAGATAACAGACGGAACACCTGACGAAAGTGGGCAGTTCTTCTAATTCCCTACCAGGAAATAGTAAGAAGATCAAAGCGATTGAAACAGAATCGTCCTCCAGACGGCGACTCTATAAAACTGAGTGCAACCACAAACTACGTGACTTGGGACAAATGCTCTCTCCTTGTAAGCGAGTGCATGCGATTAAAGAAAGAAAACTCGTTGGATTAATTGTTCTGTTTAGCGGATAAGATTAGACTTTTATTGAAAAACAAATTCTTTGGGGTCATCATATTATTCCTGCAGAACAAGCGTGCTGTTCACTCGTGTCGTGTCGTAAAACGATAGCCGTGCTTCTCATAAATGCTGTAGAGATACATCCCGTCACCAAAGAATGGATCGCAGAACCTTGAGAGGGGCTCGTAAGTGGCTATTTTACGGATGGATACTAACATCCGCCGTGCTTATGTATCTATACCTCTCGTCATCAGCATCTATGCCGAATAAAGCCGGTTATACGGAACTGGCAAATTTACTTCGATTCCGGATTATTCTTTTTTGGAACGATCAAAATAACGTCTACGGACTCCCGTGGTACGCAAATGACCAAATCTTTGGGCCCGACTCCGAATGTCCGACGGCTGCTGAAGGAGGGTGCTGGTTTACCAAAGACAGGCGATTTTTGGAGATAGCCGATGTGATCATATTTAACATTCCAGAATATAACTGGAGGAAAGAAGAAGTTCCGAAGTTTCGGTTACCCCATCAACGTTGGGTGATGTGGACTCACGAGAGCCCGTGCTACAGCCCTCCTCCTGGGCCTAATTGGGGTGGTCTGGAAAATAAGTTCAATTGGACCTTGACATACAGAAAGGATTCGGATATATTTTCGCCTTATGGTTATATAGTGAAACGGGACCCTCCTTTGAATCGAGATTTTGTCGAGGTGGCGAAAAAGAAAAAGAAGCTGGTGGCCTGGATGTCTAGCCATTGTCCTGTTTCCAGCAAGCGGGACGAATACGTCAAAGAGCTCCAGAAGTACATTCCTGTTGATATTTACGGTTCGTGTGGAACGCTCAAATGTGGAAAGGAGAAAGACAGCGACTGTTTAAAAATGATAAGTGACACATACAAATTCTATCTCTCATTTGAAAACAGTATTTCGACGGATTACGTTACTGAAAAGTTTTACAAAATGGTAGACTATGACGTCGTTACAATATTGCGTGGTGGCACAGACTATTCGCGGCTGGACTTTCAAAAGGAATGGTACATTAGCACGGGAGATTTTAAGAGCCCAAAAGAATTGGCCGAACATTTGAAAAAATTGGACGCCAATGTCGAAGAATATGCCAAGCTTCTGAACTGGAAAAATCATTATACGAGTAAAAAACGTCCGTTTGATAAACGATTTTGCGAGTTGTGCCGTCGAGCAGACGATCCAAAGGAGCCAATTAAATGGTGGACACGTGATCAACTCGTAAAATGGTTTTGGACGGACGAATGTAAAGCCCCGACGGACATGTAAATAGTTGCCCTAGTCAGTATATTCTCATCTGACTGTGATATTTTGTAAACAAAACATATTGTTAATATCACAAAGTATTATTTTGTCAGCATTAAAAACTAATTTGGGGGATAATATTTTTCTTTATTGAATGGTACATGTAGTTTCACAATAATAAACATGTCAAGTTTGAACGCGAATTTTTTCTTTTTAGTCGCATCTTTCTCTTGTAACTGACATCTATATAGGGTTGATTTACTTCCTACACAACATAGTCCTTTTATTTTACGGTGCCATGGATAAATTTGCCCACGGATAGAAACATAATCTTTCATTAAATTGCTCTATCGGATACCAAGGTTTCTATTTCCTTTTGGCGTTTTTTCACATTTCCCATTAACTCCGAGATATGTTTGCAGCATTATAGAACCATAACTTCATAGATAACGTTAAAATAGTTCCCTTGAAGCAGGTAGGCTAATTTCATCTGCAATAGTGATATGCAATGAAATAAACATTACAGCCGCAAGAACGAAGCATTAACCAGAAAATGAAACAGAATCCCGCTTTAAGTAATACGAGGTGTAAACGAAACAAAGTAAGATAGATGCATTTTCTTTGTACTAGATGCTGGTCAAAGAACAAAACGCCTTAGAAAGTTAGCTGAAATATTGCTAATGTGGTAAAACAGTTTAGCACAAAAACTCCTTCAAATGAAGCCCAGTAAAATTGACATAGCACACGTATAATGAGCATCAAAGTTTATCATTTGGCACTGAGATCTCTCAAACAACTGTCCACGAGAACGGATCATCATGATCCGATTAAAGTTAACTTGCAAGATGGAGAGACATCCGTTCAGTCGACAAACTTGAACGCTTGAACATAGAAAGGATTTTTTTCTTAAAGATCCATTACAATCCGATAAAATAGAGTGTGAAAGATAATGGAACATTGGGCCGTGCGTAAAGGATATTAGTGTTTTTATCACTTCATTTACAGTCTCCCAGGAGACGAATAACGCAGGCAAGGCAAGATATCAGCGCCATTAATGTGTGCAAATAAACCTTACCTTTTAATAGCCAAATAATGATTTCAAAGGTGTTCAGCGGATTCTGTACTAATAGCCTTTTGTCAATAATTACCATTGGGTCCCATTCAGAACAGTGGACTTACTAGTCCGAGGGTCAATTATTGCCGACCCACTTCAACACTTCCCCACGGGGAATCTATTCAGTGTCTATAAGAGGATTAGACGACAAGCTTTGTAGTGGGTCGCCATATTTGACCCTCGGACTAGTTAGTCCACTGTTCTGAATGCGGCCTTAGATTTATGAGATTTTCACAGCCTGGATTTTTCTGAGCTTTAAATGGGTCACCGAAAAACCTGTCTGATTAAACCAATATAATTATCCTGGCCACAATAAGGAGTAATAAATAAGATATATAATATACACAAAATTTCAATTCAAAAGCTTGTGAACTGTTGGTTATTGAACGTTATATCGGGTACATAAAAAACGTACTTACTTCAAAGTTCAATAAATTCAACAGTTCAAAAGCTCTGAACGAAAATTTTGCACAGATTTTGATAGGTTATTATTGGACCCTGAAAATGTCAAGCGTTTAAAGTGGATCAGTTTTGAAATTATCACCAAATTAAAAACACATTGACAGGTGTCATAACCTACAGACACTGGCACCTTTCAGAAGTCACACAAGCCGGTGTGACAGGAATGGTAGTCCTAAGAATGGAAACCCGGGGTCACATATGATTAGTACAGGTTAGGGTTAGTCGGAGTATTGAGGTTAGTATATGGGACGAATGCCACCTACACAAAGTAATAGGGAACAGGCTACTAGAGGACTACCATTTCTGCCACATCTGTATAGTACTTTTTGTCTATAGATTTTTTTTCGGTTTTCTAAAACTAAGGTAGAGACATGAAATTCTCAGCCTTTATTAAAACCATAAAGCATCTTAAATGTCATTGCAACTTTTACAATACTGTTGAAGTAAAACTGGTATTTAAGCATATTTCTGAACGAAATTAAAATATTATTGTGGGCGTAGGAAAATTTCTCAGTCACTTCTTTTCACGGAAATCTTGTAACCGGCCCTTTCAACAGAAAAATGTAAAGACAGAGGTGATATTGACCGAATATTATATTTCAATTTATTTCTAAATTTACAAAATTAATGCTGAACGGGAACCAGACGCCCATCGTCTGAGGTTTGTAGTGAATGGGAACAGGATGAAGTGCTGTACATACACATACAAACAAACTGCAGCTGGTCATTTCAGCTTTGTTTATCTGTGGATCATTCATTTAAATAGGGGCGGATTGAGGCCATCTTCTGGGTCTTCTGGAAGATGGTCTGAATTTTTCAAGTTTACATTGATGGGCATCTAATTTTTTTGTGGGAAGACAGTCAAAATTGAGGATGGATAAAAAAGACAGTTGGGAAGACTGTCAAAAAAATATCTCCGGATCTGCCTCCTTCTCTCTCTATATATATAAAGTCATCAGTCAGTTATTACATTTCTTTGCATTTGCATTTTTAAGTAGCATGGATAATTTGAATAGCTTATCTTTTAGCTGTTGAATCATTATTAAAAATTTGGATGGAATCTTTAAAACCTTTCAGCTACACAGGACTTACAGACAATTAATTAAATTTAGTTTTTTTTAAATAAAATATTCAATTTCTGTAACTGTTTATATATATATATCTCCTGTCTTATAGCATATCTTATTTTTTACATTGGGCATGCCATTCAAGCATTACTCGTGCAGTAATGTTATTTCAATGTTTTCAATTGAGTTTTTGGTTAAATAGCATTCAGAATCAAAGAAATAAGCACTAACTAAAGCCTGCTTAAGCCCTTCATATATTATTACAATCAAATGCTTTAACTGATATTGAGTATCTTTTTGACATAATTTCTGACATTTATATGGAGTTGCGATGCTGTTTCCTCAAAAACACTGTGAGCCATTTTCTTTGCTGTTTCAGACCCTTTCATCATTGCACGATAGATTGGAAGGACATACTTCTGTTTCCCTGGAAAGATTCAAAGCAAGGAATTTTAAAATTATTAACCCAAAAAGTATTCTTAAACTACAAGCTGTAAGACTGAGTTAACTCTAAGCACAATAAAGCAATTCTGAACTTAAAATATGATGTGCCTATTATTAGTCTGTTCCTTTCTGTTCAATTCACTTAAAGGGATAATAACTCTTCGTTTCGGCCAAAAAATGAATTTTCCTGGAGTAAACGACAATTTTCCCATACTTACCAATGGTTATTGAATCCATTTTTACATTCAAAATTAGTCCCTGGTTTTTTTCTAAAAAGTTTGTTTTTTTGTTAAAATCTCTTAAGAGATTTTAACAGAGTATAGCCATCAATGGAGGTCACGTGGTCTAAAGACAAGCTCAGATATCAGAAAAAATAGCTATAACTGCAGTTTTTGTGGCTAAACAAAATATATTATATTTCTATGAGTTATTTACAATGTTTTTATTGTGAAATATAGATATCATACGAAGAGTTATTATCCCTTTAATGTTTTTTTCTTGTTTCTCTAATTGTTTTGCACATTGAAATGACATCAAAGTTACTTCAATGAATATTCTTTATAACTTATCAAAACAAATATTCTATACCAACTAAATGATCAGGGATATAAAGATTTTTATCCCCCCTCTCTCTAATATTTCTGTGCTTCACAATGTCCCTATTCCCTGAAGAGGGGGTTTCTGAGATACTGAAATATTGGAGTGTAAATGACTCTTAATTAAGCCGTTTAGTTACTTGAATAATTTTAAACTGTATTGTAACTTAGGGTGCACAACACACGTGATGAAATCTTTTGTTGAGTAATCAGTGGGTAAAATATGCAATATTCCTTTCCCACCCTTCTTATTGATGTGAAAAAAGTATATTTGTAAACTACCTTGGCTGTGTAGGAACTGTCTGATGTTTGGAAAGTCCTCCTGGTAATCATGCTTTAGTGTGATCTGTGACCATCTCAGTCTCACCTAATACACAGAAGGTAATATAGGGGTATACTGATGAAATTCTACGTTGTTTGAATAATCTGGACCTCCTTTGGGCCCTGTTTCATAAAATAAGTTACAATTACAAAGGTTGGTTTTAAACCTAATTTTTAGTCTTATTTCACAGTAAAGTTTAACCTGGCATGATAGGTATTAGTGCAATCAAATGAAATATTACACTTTAAAAAATAATAAACATAATAAAACAGGATAAAATAGGAATAATTTTCTTGCTGTAAACCAAATGTTTCTTCATTTTACAGGACTGCTAATAACTATGGATTTGCCTTTATCAATGAAATATATCAATGTAATATAAGAAATTATTCTCACTTCTGCATTATGAGTATTGGCAATGAAAGGGTAAGTTTCTGCCATTTTCTTCAGAGTGTTCTCTGGCAGCTTGCTCTTTTCCAGTATCTTGTCTAAAAAGTGGAAAACTTGATACGTTTTCCACCTGGATGGATCTTTGTCAGAACATTCCTGCAATATAAGTGTTTAGCTAAGGCATGAAGGTTAGGTGATATATCTTTCAAAATAGCAGCCCTTTTGGAATGATTTACCAATCTATCCTAAGAAAAAAAAATGAATCCAGGAAACTTAAAAAAGGAGAACTAAAAAGTCATCTTTTAAGCAATATTACTTTACACAATTTTGCTTCTTATTAGAAAGGATAATTGATTTTATGTTTAAAACTGAAACGTAAACTTGGGACGACCTTCACAACCATTAGAAAATAACAGTGCAGTTAATCATAAAACATATCAAATCAGGCCCGAAGCTAGGGGGAATTTCAGTGAGTATGAATGAATCACACTTTTTGCTGGAAAAAGGTCCACTCTAGGTAAAATTTGATCTAGATACATAAAGGTTTCATGGTAAAAGGTCCACTATTTCAGAAAAAGACCCCTCCCCCTTCTTTGAAATCAATACTTTAAGTTCTAGATGAAGACTGATTACAGTGACGGGGACAGGGAAACAATTGGTTATGAAGGATGCCAAATCCAATTAACCAGAAGATAAGTCTGGATGTTTTTTTTCTTCCTTCAGACTTGGAAATTCTAGCTAAGCTAATTACCAAGATGCCAATCTTTAACCCTTTGAGATAAGATGACACATTTCCATTAATCTTTGAGTTAAAGTTATCACATTAAAAATAAGTCATTAATAAGACAATTGAACAAAAATGTTAAATAAATCAAGGAATTAAACTGAAAAAGTTATGCTCAAAAAAACTGAATTTCTACATTGGTATGCTTTTCAAACACATGACAAAAAAAATGATACTGATAAATAAGATGTAATATAGAAGAGGATGGTTTATGGCCTATCCTTTTCAATCACCCTTCTCCCAATGGTCAGCACACAATTGATTTCAATTAAACATTCATTAAATCAGATGGACTCTCAGATCAATACAAACTGTGACACCTTTTCTCTTGGGAGAGAAATGTATATGCTTCTTTGCTGTATGGAGTAGAAATGTGACATTTCTGCTCCATGCAGCGAAGACGCATATTGAAGACACATACACGAAAAAGATGGCTATTAAGGGCATTAACTGTAATCCCCCAAGACTGCTTAATAGACTTTAACCCAGTCGTTGAGTAAATCAGCTTTCATAATTAATTAATAATAAAATAAATTTCCACCTAATTACTTTAGGGAGCAATTTAAGCTTCAATGTGTGTAAAAGACATGCATATTAGCCAAGTTGCTCACAGTAAATTTGTTGTGACCTGAATAATAAAATTTGTTTTCAACAAAAGTCAATAAAAATGACAGTTTTAGCTCCATTTTAAATGACAGCCATGCTACATTTAATTAAGCTACAAATAAATTATGCTTAAATGCACTTACATTTCCTAAAGGTTTTTAAATTGCTGGTAATTATTTAGCTGTAACATAAAACTAACCCCAGTAAACCAATATTTTTAAATGGTATATCTCAGGTTTTGCTCTGATAGAGATGATACAAGCTTCTAATCAACTCTCAGTTTGTTCTCAAACCTAATTCAAAAGGGTTCTCCTACCTGGGTTTCACCTGCCCAGTAGTTGGCCAGTTCTTCTGCTGGGGTGGTCAAGGCACGTCCAGCAGACAGATCAGGGACATAGGGAGGCCAGCCTGCTTTCTCCAGCCATGTCGCCTTGAACTCAAACCCTGGCCTATAGGAACAGTTACATAATAATTAAATGAGTAAGGTAAAAAAAAAGAAAGAAAGAAAGAAAGAAAAGAATAAAATAGAAGGAATACTTGGACTATGGCCAGTTTTGAAATCTTTCTGTTTAGACTAACAAGTAAACTCAGCAGGTTTCAGATTAAAACAGAGTTACCTTTGGAATGTCCAACAAAAAGCTACTGATTAGATATTGGGGTTATATAAAAATTTTGAAGAGTGTCAGATTCTGAACAAAAACTATTAACAGTAGAAAAAGTAATTTTTTTTTCAAAATCTTATTTGCCTCTATAATTAAAAATGTACAAAAAGTATAGTCTCAGTGTGATCACAATACAATACTTACTTCTTATCAACTTGCTGCTCTTTAAGATTAGGGAAACAGTCTAGAAAGAAATCTAATGTATCCTCAGCTACGATGCTCTAAAAGAGAAGGCAATAACTAAGTTAATCTAAATCTAATCTTAAAAATCAGACAACACCCAATTAATGTCAATATACTCTTTAAAATAGAAAGGTTCACATGTGTTATATAATACTATGTTCTTAATGAGAAACCAATCTCATCTCAAAAAAAAAAAAAAAATGCAAAAAAAGTCTTTTAGTATTAAAGCTATATATCAAATATTTACAAATCTTCACTTTCAAATTGAAAAACAGGAAAAATTTAACAGAAAACTGACGCCCTTACTGATAATTTTGCTTCAATCTTATGCTTCATTTTTTCAACCTTTACAATCCAAGTACCTTGAACTTGAATTTCTCCACATATTTCTTGAGAAAATCATCAAATTCTTTCACTCCACCAGCCAGCTGTTGGAGATAGCAGACAAAGGTGTATCCTTTCTCATACGGTGTCTCATTGTAGGTGTCGTCTGGGTCCACCCCTGGTTCTATGACCACCCTCAGTTTGTTCAGTGGATGGTCCTTAAATCAATTTAATTCAATGTCTAAATTTTGTTTAATCATCAAAAAAAAAATACTTTCTTGAAAAAAAAACAGAGAGGGTGAAGATTATATCTAAATGCATATAGTTTTTATTTTGCTTAAAAAGTTGAAGTAAATGATAAAAAAATTACATGTGTTCTTTTTAAATGCAAGGTTTGAACAATGTGCAATTTTTGTAAAGGAACCATTATTGTTTATATATCACCATTGTTTATTGATTCTTACCTCTCCAGTGTCATCCATGTGTTGCCGTAGCAACGCCAGCCCTGTGGTAGCTTCAAGACAGGTGTAAGCTTTCCCCAGACCTGGCAATTCCTCCATAATCCTCCTCTGAGCAAACATGGTGAAACCCTTAAAAATCATCGACTAATATTTAACAAGGCAGGCTAAACCCTCTAAGATCTCCATCTTTAGTATTATCAAACCAGCTAATATAAAGACTAACCTAAATTCTTTCACCATAAAATTGAAATGAATAATAATGAATAATGATGAACACTTACTGTATAATTTGATTTTTGTGTGCTAGTTATCATGTCATTTGTAGTGTCAGTTTGTATTCATGTACGTGATGAAGAAAATCAAATGTCACCAATATATTTTGTACCTCATTCAACCAGAACTCTCCCCAATTGGCATTGGTAACAAGATTTCCAAACCAACTGTGGGACTGAAAAGTTGAAGACAAACATTTCTTTAACTTCTATTTACAAAAAGAATTTAAAAAACAATATCAAGGGCCACTTTACACAAAACATACTTTCCTTCTAGATTTTATGTTTTAAATCCATTTTCGAAGTAAAGTCAATTTTAAAGATTTTAAAACAGTAAAATGGAAAATACCTAATAAAGGTCTATGTATTACTTACTATCTCATGAATGACAACATCAGTCAGTGATTTGTCTCCAACTAGTAAACAGGGGGTTACAAATGTTAGGCAAGGGTTCTCCATTCCTCCATATGGGAAAGATGGCGGCATAACAAGCAGGTCATATCTTCCCCACTGATATGGTCCAAACAACTCCTCCCCTTTGCTGAGAAAAATTTCCACTTCTCCATCAAACTCATTTTTTGCTTTTTCCTGCAAGAGGGATTATAGCCACTGGTGTATCCAGTGGGGAGAGAGAGAGAGAGAGAGAGAGAGTGTGTGTGTGTGTGTGTGTGTGTGTGTGTGTGATATTACATTTCATTGATGATATACTATGATATACAAAGCCCTGTTAGAAGAGGGCTAACAGGTACATGTAACATTACATACATGTACTACCATTACAGTTAACACAACTTGCTATAATATAGAGCAGTTAGTGCCAGTCACCACAAGTGAAGTAAAGTAAAGTAAATAATTTTTTAAAAGTTAACTACAGTTCTGTATTACCTATCTTCTCTCTTTTTTCGTCGTATTATTATCCAAAACTCAAAATTTTGTAGCAAATAACATGGAAAGTAAATGACCCTCCTTATTGAAAATATGAAAAATATAAACTATCCACAGCTAACAAATGAAAATTTTAGCAGTTTTACCAGCATAGAGGGCTCTGTCCACACACGACTACGCGGTCCAATCTCAGCACTGGCCAGGTCACCCACAGCCAGAGCAACAAGGTAGGACTGGACTGGCTGCTGGAGACTGAAGAAAAATGTCTCATGGTCATCTTCTCCTGTAGCCTCCTTTCTGGACTCACTGGCACTCATTACTGCAGTGAAACCCTTTGGCACCTGAAGAAGATAAATTGATAAAAGAATTAATAACAAACAAGCATCAAATACCAATAAAACCAAAGCATTATAGCCAAAAATATTTTTGCAAAAGCAAATAGAATAAAAATAACATCATTATCATTTCACAGTTTAATTTAAATGAAAAAAATTAAAAATTTAATACCAAAAAGTAACCCAAGTTGGAGGTAATGACAATTTACCATATCATTACATACTGTGGAAATAAATATAGTTGTCATGGTATCACTGAATATGTTACACTGAACAATTACAAAACACAAACTAATAAGATCAGTCACCTAGACAATTTCTTTTAAGATATTTCAGGTGGCACTCCAAGATAGAACCAACTCAGAAAGTACATGTAAATGTCATAAGTGGCATAACTGACCTTGACAGTGGCTGAATATGGACATTTGACAGCAGGAGTGTCCTGGCAAGGAAAGAATGACCTGTTGCATGAGGCCTGACCTTGAGTGTACATGTATGGCTTCACCTTGCCTGAAAATATAAAAATATACCAGTACATACATATTGTGTCAAATGCAGGAAACATGTTTCACTGTTGTCTAAACATATGCAGACATACAGCAGTCTAAGTTTGTAAGTGCTGTAAACAGTAACAGTTTATTTAAGTTACCTGCAGTTTGGGCTGGATCCAGCCAACACACTCCAGGGCCACCTGTTGATACATAGTCAATCTTCAAAACAAATTTCTTGCCACCTTCATAAGTTTCTGGAAACTAGAAAATTAGAGTGACATAATTTTTATATGTTCTAATGTAAGCTGAAATTTTCACTTGTTTTCTATGCAAGGTAAGTAAATGTCATAGGTGTGAGTGTAAGTATGCCTCATTTCACATTATAAATCTGCAAAAGCAGACAGATGAATGAATGAATGGGGAGGAAGGTGGGTATTTAGATAGGAACGTGGATTTTTTAAAAATATGTACTGAAAATGTCACCTAAGACCCTGTCTCTTTTTTTGCATTTATAATAATAATAATAATAATAATAATAATAATAATAATAATAATAATAATAATAAATCATGCTGCTAGTGATCAACACATCTGTTCAGATAGATCCAAAATGATTCAATCTTAAACAAAATGAGAATGAGCATAATTCACCTTTATCTCAAGAGCTGTGCCATAATCTGCAAATGGTTTGATCTCAAACTCTAGTTGTTCTGCATTTCCACCATCAACTTCTTCTTTCACCACTTTATGAACAGTGAGGGTTTGGTGGACATCAAGTGTTACTGGATGAATAATAATAATAATAATAATAATAATAATAATAATAATAATAATAATAATAATAATATGTCAGAGGCTTTTCATTCACTAAAAAAAAAGAACACTACTACAGATGTAGTAGGCCTTTAAAAACAATTAATTATTTTCAACCTTAAATAAAAACTGAATACTCATTGCCTTTAAAATACTGGCATCATACATAAAATACAGATTAAATATTTTAAATATACATGGAGTTTTATAATATAATCACTTATAATGATTCACATGTACCTTTTAACATACTAGTACTATTATAATTCTCACTGTTAACATAAAAATTCAACCTTAAGTTGTAATTAATTTTATTCATTTTCTTATCATCATCATCATTATTAAAACTGTGTTGAATACACAAAGTAAATTAGCTCTAATATATCTACATGCACTTTTTATATTATTATGCCTCCCATGTCAAGGCCCAAATCAATTGTATCATTATGTTATCCTTTGCTGCAACATTTGCAATAAAACAGCTGATAGAAGAATTGATTAAGAGGAACTGAATAACTGCAGTTATGCACACTTTGTTTGAAAAATAAATTACTGTTCAATATACACCTTTATACTACCAGTAGATTGAACTGTGCCCAAAAACTCATGTAAGAATTATGCCATACAGTTGATAGTCTTGAAGCCCACCTTGCTAGTATTATTTCCAAGCTAGCAGTAATGGTGAGTCATTGTCTCGAGTCAATACAATACATGTACACTGCACTAGCGAGTAGTAACGTGATACTGAGTACATGCGGCACTGGTAGTACTAGTACCTTTTTTGCTTTAACTTAAGAAAATTTTAAAATATTAATGTCGCATTTGTTAAGATGATAAAAAACATTAAGGTGATATTTGTGAAGACAATCTTTTAAATTGCACATCACTCAGAGTCCCGAGAACCAACCTTTATCAGTAGGCTTCACTACGATAACATCGAGGTCTGCTCTGGAAACGATGCACCGCTTGTCAAAGTCCACTTTCATATTCAGATGAAACATTTCTACCTTCACATCACGGAAATTTGATGCTGTTGATACATCTGTCGCTAAATCGGAGTGGAGGACCATGGTTTCCGTATTTCTGCTAGGTTATTTGTAGATTATTATTATTTACAGTATATACAAATAACTATATTTCTAACTCCCGGTAAAATCAAATGACCATCACTCCCCCGACCTTGACCTTATTTTCTGACTAGATTCCAAAGGAGATATTAATTCTATAAACCAATAAATAACCACGTTTATGAAACAAATAATAACTTTGGTATTTTAAACTCAATTTACTTAATTGATCAGTAAAGATCTATGATAACATAGTAAGGAGATGACTAAATTACCGTCTTATGTTATATTGAATTAGTAATATTGACTGAGGAACCAGCTCAAGACATTTTACTTTATGAGACTCCAGAAACAAGAGAGGGAACGACGTTATGTGTAAGCAGTATTTGTCCACTCCCATCAGATATTTCCGTATGATATCGGTTACAGAGGTAATAATATTTTAATATGTAATAAAATACATACATACAGTAAATGCATGGACAATCCAACGTTAACGTTAATATAGTAAATATAAATTGTGACAGTTTTATTAATTCTGGTTTTTATTTTCTAAATCTTTTTTTCCTTTCAGGATAATTTTAACACGTACTGCAATTCTTGAGCAGATTTTCAATGAGTGGGGCGCACAGGCGTTTAACAATATCGCTCGAAGGGATGCTTGGATCTTGGTCCATGATGACGTGTGCCAACTATCTTTTCCAAAATGTTTGGGCTGAAAACTGAAACAGTGAAAAGCCTTATACCCGGACGACAGCTGCTGGATGTGATTTTGAATTTTAAAAAAGTCTGTCAATGGCCCTATATTTATCTCCTCGGGGTATTTGGAGATGTATCAGACGGAAAGGGCTTTTGATATTGAGAGATGTGGCCTTTGCTTTGGTGCTGTACCTGCTAACATTTGTTTTCATTCTTCCCCAAAACATGAGAAATGTGAGGTTTTCGCCATATTTTATAGAACCGGAGAATATCACTGATATTCTAGTTGAACAAAATGAACAGCGTGTAAAGTATGCTCAGGAGTTTCTGAAAGGGTTCACTGCAACAAGAAAAGAAATGTCAGGTCCATCAGATTCTAAAAAAGATAAAGAATATTTGTACAGCATTGGAATTATCACTCAAGAGCGGAATAATAACAAGGCAAAAAAGAAACCATTTTACTTGACTCAAGTTGCTGCTCGATTTCTTGAAATACTGCACGGTCCAAATGGAGGTTATTCTGACAGGACAAAAATTTTTATTTGCAATGTTGATCCAAACACATCTGGGGTGAAAGAGGTGAATACCCTCTCTGAGCACTTAGAAATTGTGAACAGATTTTCACCAGATTCAATAAATAAAGGTGAGACTGACGCCTATGAAAAAGAAAAGATGGATTATATTTTCTGCCTCCAGGAAACTCTGAAACATTCCTCAAAATATGTTATCCTGATCGAGGATGATGTTCTTCCTATTCGCAAATTATTGGATATGCTGACATATTTTCTTGAGACCAAAATTAATGTGCGGTGGTCCCATGGCTACCCAGTCAACACCGCTGACTCATGGCTTGCTTTTAAGCTATACTATCCAGAACGCTGGCAGGGATATAGTAAAACTGTGAAAGATATTATTGAACTGGCATCTTTTGGAATTATTGTAGGATCTTTATTGACTTTTATATATGTTAGTTTTCTACATAGAGCTGGTAATATTTAATTCATGTTTATAGTTTTTACAACTTATGGAGTTCTGTTGGCATACTGTATAGGTAGGGTTAACTTGTATACGGCCCTTGGTGCTTCTAAATATTTATATTTTGTAGAACAAGGTCATGGGTGTTGCACCCCTGCAGTAGTGTTTCCCTCAAAAAAAGTCCCAGCACTTGTGAAGCATCTCGGTTCAGTCAAATGCCATGAAAAATACCCCATAGACCTTGCCTTGACAGCGTATGCAAATAATACCAGTTTACTACAGTTTGGGATAGTACCGAACCTAGTTGGTCATATTGGTCTGTATTCAAGCCTGCATAAACCAGTCTGGGTAGACAAGGTCAGCCCATGGATTACCTAGGGCGTGTTTCCAGTTGAGTCTGCTTGACTTATCTCACAGTCTACTTGCTCACCACAGGCAGTGCCCAGAGGAATCAGTCTGGTGGCTGCCAGCTTCTTCGTTTTTAATTCTTTTTATGTGCATGCTAATAGAATTTTGAATATCATCAGCAATTTTGTTGAAGATCACGGCATGTATGAGAACTTGAAAATGAAGAAGTTAGCCTGCTTAGGCTCTATATATACCTTAGGCTTATTAACGATTATTCTGTCTCATCCACCATCTTTGTAATTCTCAAAATTGTGAATTTTTTTTCTGTAAAATGTGTCTCAGAGCTATTAATTGGGTATTATAATCTAGATGGTTGTTTAGAGCAAGTTACTTGTCCTGAAGAGCTGGGAAAAGTTTAGTTATCCTGAGCAGCCTTAGATATATGAAAGGCCTTCTTTAATTGATTAGTTTTGTAGATTTTTTTATGTCGTGGGTCCAGTTTACATATAAATCTCCTTTTATATTTCTATATATCACATATTATTGTATTACATCAATTTTGTAATAAAAGAATGTGCAATTTGGGGCATTTCATTCAAAGTAATACATTTAAAATGCCCTTAGTAGTATTAGTATGTTTTCTTCTTAATTGTGGAAGGGGACAAATTCAGCCTTTTTATAATATAATTATTATTTTTGTGGGGGAGGGGGCATCTTTCACTTATATAGTCAGATGATAATTCTGTTTTAGAATAATTATATACATAGTTGTCATATATATTATGTATACTTAGTGCTTATATAAAGATGCACCATACATCATACCATACATATATATTCAATGCATATTGTTTAGGATGTACTAGCAACATATATAGCTTGCCACTGATTTTGGATGACTTTTGTAATTGCAAGTTGAAAGGGGTAATAATTGAAAGATAAAAATTCAAATCCTTGTTTCTCTTGTCTATTGTGTCATATAGTGAAGTTCACCCCCCCCCTCCCCAGTTTCAGAGGATACTGTAAACTCACCACTAGTACTCTTATTATATCCACATTCAAATACTCTAGTAGGCAGGTTGGTTTACTGTGTTTTCTGAAACTTTGGGGGGGGGGGGGGGGTCAGTGAGGTTTTAAAATTCATCCAATTCTGATAATATGTGCACAAGCACTGGTGGATCCAGGATCATGTGAGGAGGGGGGGGGGGGGGCACAAAATTAAAAGACTTTTATCTCATAAAAAATTAGTTTCTACTGAAATGATTTACTTTCTTACCATTTTTATGACAGTGAAAACCTTCATGTATTTCAGCAATACCAGCAGTAGTCGATTCAAAAAGAATGAAGTGGACCAAAATTTTTATGTTAAAGTAAAGACCAATTTTTAGGCTGAAGTTCTTTGGTGAAATGGGCCTCAAATGTGCAAAGAGGACAAAGAGATTTCACTAAGGTGCATGAAGGTAATTGATCTAAAGCATTATTCTTAAGTATTAGCATTGCTTTCCATCTCTTAAGTACTTAGAAAAAGAATATTAAAAGTTACAATTATAGATTTATTTGAATTTCATAAATTTCTAGAGAAGGGCTCTGCAAAATTTTAAATGCTCCCCCTTCTGACATGTCACTGACTAATATCCAACATCTATAAAAAACATCAAAATTCCTTGGATGGGGCTTTGCCTTGATGACGCTGGCTCCAATTTTTTTCAGTTTAATTTTTCTCTGATACTTTCTGGTTGTGTGGCTGGGTTAAAACAAGAAGCTCAGACTTTCCATCATTGATTTTCAGCTTATTTCTCATCAATCACCCTCGCAGGTCATCAGTACACCTGACCTGAACAACTTTTCAATGGATTTCTCAGGATTTTCTAAATCACAGCATCATCCATGTAATTAAGGATTACCCCTCACTGTTATTGTCTTATCACTTATTCTGATGGTATAAGATTGATCACAGAACGCATGCCCAATAAACGTATATAAAATATATTTGGGATTCTTTTAGACGTATGTATTTTTGTAATCAGGGAGAAAAAAAAAACATGTATGCAGATTTCTTGTTATCTTCAGCATTAAAATAACATTTCCATTAATACTGTAATAGCAATATTAAGGCCAATTATTATACCATTACATGTTATATATATATATCTGGGATTTGCTATATGTGGTAAGAATACATATTGACCTCCCTGACGTCATCAAACAATTGCACTAAACTTGGTTACAAAATGCTAATTACTATTATGCCATATAAATAATTTTGGCCAACCACTTTCATCAATGTTTGATCAGGAACTTAAAAACAATGTAAATTGTACAACTGCTGCTCATGCCTTATATAATGCACTATTGCTACTATTAACTACTGTCTGTATTGTCAATAAAATATAAAATCTGATATAAAACTTTTTTTTAACTTTGAAAATAGTGCCTCACATATTAATGGAATAATTAATTACATAATACTAAATTACATAATTAAAAATAATAAAATGTCTATCTACTATATGGGCCAAAATTTCACATGCACTCATTGGTACCATTAGAAAAAGCTAATTTTGCCTAGAAAATGACATACCCAGCTGAAATTCTTTAAAAGTAAGAATCCCAAGTACATTAACAGCAAAAACTTCCTCACGAATCTCAAATCCACACCTTTTATACAAATGCACTGCAGGCATCTGTGCTTCCGAAGTTTCAAGAATCAGTTCACCATAGCCTTGTTGCTTAGAAAATTCAATGGCAGTTGTCACTAACATCTTTCCAATGCCAAATCTACGGTAATTCTTTTTAACAATCATTCTTTTCAGTTCAGCTGTGGAATCCGTCTTCTTGTCAATGGCAACCGTCCCAATGATTTCCCTGTTATATGTTGCTACCCAAAACGCAGTTCCTTGGCGACTATAATAACCGCGCAAGTCTGCCTTTTCTACTGGGAATCGATTTTCATACTTTCTCATTTCTGAGGACATATATATGTAAATTAAGATTCTAACTGTGAAAACTGGCAATAGTATTGAGACTATGAACATGTCTATGTAATAATATAAAACTGTGATGGACACTGCTGTCAGGAGGACAGTCAATGGGTTAAAAGAAAGTTTTCTGACAACATAAGGATGGACTTGGTCTGATAGATTCTTTATGATCATTTTCCATAGAAAGTCTCCCTCTCCAGTTTGAATAGGTCGCACTTTAAGCAGTTCTTTGTTGAACTCCATTCCCACAGCAACTGGTCTGCTCTAATTAATGGAAAATTATATAAATTATAAATACTGATCAATCACTTTTAAAGTCAGTGTAATGTTAAAAGGTAAAATACCTTAAATTGTAAGTACTGGTACAGTGTACTGGTACATGTACATGTAAAAGGTGAAGTGCCTTTGCCTGGCCTGTGCGGTGAAACAAATGTTTTGATAATAATTAACATAAAGAACATGTTACATGTTAGATACATTTTGTAAACACCAGACATACAAACAAGATAAGGGGATAGTACATGGGAATTTGGCAAGTAAAATAAATTCTCCTGGCATTACAAAAAAATAAATAAAATAAAATAAATAAATAAAAATAAAAATAGAGGCCATGCACATTTTTCTCAATTGGGAGTACAGTACTCTGCAACAACACTTACAGGAGTAAGCAAAAGAGTATTGTTACAACTTACAGTTACACACTTATTCAAACTAATACAGAAATATATTGCCAAGTGATTTTTTGTAACATTTTGGAAAACTAGTTCTTGTTTCAATGTTTGGTCTTCACTTTGCAGGCTTGGAAAGAGAGAAAACTTAAAATACATTGTACGATAAATGTAATCAAAGTGAGATTTATCTGTATCTGTATACATATCTCTGTAATAACTTACAGTGTTTCACGTATTTAGGAAAATATACCCCCAGCGTGATATAACTCTCAGCATGAGACAACATGTAGTGACTGGACTTTAGTACCGTTCACCAGTGTAAGCAGTGATTTGTTTACCTTCAACGGACTGTAAAATTTCCAATGCTCTCATTGGCTCCCTAGAATCGTTTCCTGCTATCTAATATGGAGCTGCAATAATTAAACATTTTTAGCAATAGAAATAATTCACGTTTCAAACAATATTTTGATGTTTTAAGTTTTGCTGAGAACTTTCGCTTTAAATTAATTAAAAATTATACATATTCGAAACTGAATTACCAAACAATGCGAGCTTTATATACGCGACTAGATAGCAGCACAGGTCTCACATGCACAGTGGGCGAGAAAAATGTCCAAGTGAAAATAGGTCTGTAAATAAACAGAGTAGATATATATTGCTTATAATGTATGTAAACAAATGTTGCTTAACGCTAGTATGTATATTATTGAGCAAAAGCGTGACAGATATACTGTAACAAATCAAAGTTCCTCATCACTAAGGTAAACATTTGCATGCCGCAAATATTATCGATATAGCAGGGTATGTTGTGTGTGAGGGGGACAAATAGGAAGTCATCAAGCCAGACTTCAAAATCAGTGTCGTAGATACCATCTGTAATAGAAGTGTTTAACTTTTTTAAGGGTTGATGCATAAATATGAATCTTGAAAGGATCGATGGCCTGAGTAGTAGTAAAATTCCAACAGAAAGCAATCACAATCTAACATTTGCTTTCAACATTTCAGGACAGGTGCAAACATAGAAATGGAAGTCCCAGTGTTGGTAACATGATTGAGCTTATATGGCTTGATTCATTTGTACACTAGCAGGGAGCAGTTGGTGTGTGAGTTTGCACGTAATGATGCAGAGGTTCATCCTCTGAAGAAACCTGTTCAGTTTTGCTGGTTGTTTTATGCCAGAGACTTCATGATGATGAAGAAAAAATTCATGAGTGAACCCCCACTTCCACCTCCACCACTGCCACAGACAGGTATCACTTGCTTTATGCTTAAGATTTGCAAATTGTAGATGTGCCTTTAGCCATACTTTTTATAAATGCAGCTCATGAATCTACAGTATGTACTCCGGTAGATGCAGATCATTAATTTTTCATTTTTTAAGAATAAATGATATTATATGTATATATTGGCCCTTGCCTACCTATACAATGAGCAATAATAGCAAATTATTTGTTGAGTTCTGCTGAACATATTATTAATAATTAAATTCCAAATATATTTTTCACTTACTATTTTGAAAAAAAATGTACACCTTTTTCACTTCATCATTTAAGTATTAATTATTTTCCTTTCAGTATTAATATTTATTACATACAGTGATTTTGAAATGTCATGGGATCATAATTTTTCACTGGATTGAGAAATGAAAAGCTACATTCTTACATACAGTTCTTACTAATCTTTTAAAACTTTTTACAGAAGCTGTTTCAAAACATGATCCAAATTTGTCAGAGACAAAAAACTATACAAGACCAGCAATAGATCCCCTGGCACTGAGAGCCGTCAAGTTAAAGGCAACAAATTCCCAGAAGGACCCATCACGTGTTTTGGGTAGGATGTTATTAGTAGATACTATACCAGTATCATGGCAGTATGCATACCCACACACATTTATATAGTGGATATATTAGTCATGTTCATGTTCATGAGCATACATGTACACTTACACATAAATTGATACTTGTACACACATGCTCAAACACACACATGCAAGCATGCACACACACAAACACATTTTATGAAACTTTTTTATTTTGTGAGTTCAATTATTTAATGGTCCCTGGAAACTACTCAGGAGGAAGAAAAAAACACCCAGATACTTAGTACTTGAGAATGAAAATGCAGAGGTTTAAATAATTTTAAAATGTTATTTGTATAAGAAAATTTGTTTTTTTTAATGTTCAGGCTATAAAGAGTTGTATGAAGATTTGAATCCTACAGATGTCAATGTTCATAATATCCCTGAGAGGGCGCTCTATAGTCTGCCTGTTATGGCAGTTACAGTAAGTGGCTTCTCATTTTACATTAATCCTCCCTTCCATCCATATTTCCTATTTTCCTTCCTCCCTTTCTTTCTCTCTCCCTCCCTCCATTCATTCCTTCCTTCATTTACTTTGTTAGTCCCTCCTTCCCTTTCTTCCTCCAGTTAAAATCTTGATTGAAAATATGATAAATATGAGGGTTTCGTAATTAAAGAAATGGTTTTTACTTTCTCATTTTTTGCTTTTCAATATCTGATTGAAATTAAGAAAAGTTAAATAAATGCAATTAATTTGAGAATAGTTAAATGAACTTTTTAAGCAAGCTTTTCTTTTGCATGCATGAAGTTCAAAGGAAGGCGCAGAATCCATACTTAATATATCACAAGAAGTCTTCTTTTGCAGTTAGTGTACTTATCAATAAATTGTGTTTTAGAAAATCATCAAAGCAGCACATCCACAGCCTTTCACCCTGAATTTCAAGGGGTTGGACGTATTGACAGATCTCTTATTTAGCCACCTGGCTCTGGAAGAGAAGAAACATGAGAACTTTGATGGGATAAAGACTATTGACTGCAGTGGTAAGATATGCCCCACTATATGGCTCATTAAGTAGGGTCGAGTATTGGCAGCTGGGGTATTTTGATCTGTATCTCCCCTCCCCCTGTCTAGCTTATAGGATTTGCTTCATACCGTCAGAATGGCTTCAACGGAACATATTCTTCAGAAAACATGCCCAGCTAACGATATCTTTATCCAAATACACAAATTAAAAGCTCATTTTGTAAATTTTTGGCTTTAAAAAATGTCCTATTTGCTCGGCCTGGGAGTTAATGAGCTACGTGGTCATGTGGTCCGATGACGACAATCGAGCCACTGGAGAACAGAGCGTGCTTAGCTGTCAAACTGAGCTGCATTGTCTACCTGTAAGATGACTTCTCTGGCTTCTGATAAAAGTTTATACTCATTCAAATCTCTTACCCGAGGGATCTAAATCCTCATGAAGCTGTGTAAAACCATTTCCCGTCTAGTCATTTCTTTAACAAGCATTTCATTATGGTTATCCCAAGTTGTATAAAACACTGCATTTGAATGAGTTGAGGGAAATGTTGATTATTGCATATGAGGTCCATGTTATTTGTGAAATTCAATTAATTTTATTAAACCGCTGACACTCCGTCTTGCATACTTTTATTAAACTGAGGTAAACAATGCCCGTTACCTTTACAAGTCCTATCTTAATCATCCATCTAACTGGAACTTCCTTTACCTCTTAATTAGAGGGTTAAATGGCATTCAATTTGTCTTGCTTGTATCGAACGCACTCTCTATCTAAGCTTTACTCCAGTTATCTCAGGTAAAAATCTACCTGTGCGTTAGTTACAAAGCGCAGCTCCCGTAGACCTGGGGGTACTAGATAAAATCTGAACACCAGGTTTATCGAGGAGCTAGAGAAAGAAAGGAAGAATTTTTCCTGCA